GGTAGTGAAGGGCAGGTTAGAACCCCATTCTCCTCCTCTTCTTCTTTTCCCTCACAGGGTGTCTGCTGTGGGGAGGGGAAGGGAAAGGAGTTTGTCAGCCGCTCTGAGACTCCTTTGGGTAGTGAAGGGCCATGGGGTATAAATCCAATCTCTCCTTCTCTTCTTCTTCTTCTTTAAGTTTTTTATAGTCCCCTTTTCTCACCAAGACTCGATTAACCTCTCGTTCTTTCTGCCCAGGGTGCTAGCGGAATTCAGCCGAGCACGAAGGAAACTGGACTCTGCGGAAGAGAAGCCGAGCCCTGCCCTGGCCGAGTCCCCCCTGCCACGGGGCCCCTGTCCCGCAGCCCGGTCCTGCACGGCACCCCTTCCTTCCACGGAAGGGGCTGGGAGCCCTGCACTCGTCATCCAGTCGCCACCTCCTCCTCCCCCGCTGTGACCACAGCCTCCCGGTGGAGGCGTCCCACTGGAAACGGGCAAAACCGCAGAGACCTTGGCAGCCCTTTGTGCCAGGATCCCGCCCGCCCCCGGGCTGGTCGGAACACGCGTTGCCAAACGGGAAGGGGAAGCACCCCGGATTCACTGTGTTGTCAGCAGAGAGGTGGAAGAGGGCATCTGCCACGTGAATGGCCACGTGAATGACGGAAACCAGGCAGGGATGGGAGAACTTCCCTCACCAATCTCTCCGGTGGGCTGTCTGGTAGGAATTGCCTTCGTTACACGGAAAGATTTGAGTGGGAAAATGTGTTGGAATTTAAAGACCGCCAACTGCTGTACTGCAGTTAGTATCTGCTGACAGGAGGAAGGTTTGTAGGTTCTTGCATGACTAGCAGTGTTCCCTCTAAGGTGAGTTAGTGCGAGCTAGCTCACAGTTTTTTAGCCTCCAGCTCACAAATTTTTGGCTCCACTCAGGAAGGGATGGCTCCAGAGCAAACTAATTAATGCAGCAGCCAAATCGCTCGCTCACAAATTTAATGCCAGTAGCTCACAAAGTAGAATTTTTGCTCACAAGACTCCACAGCTTAGAGGGAACATTGATGACTAGAGGTGGAACAGGCTGGAATTCCAGCTACACAATACGGCCTCTGACACACACACACACACACACACACGACTTTGGATATTCCTATGAGGCTTTGGTAAAATGCTATGTGTGTTGCTTTTGACCATTTCTGTACAGTTACAGAAGCAAGTGTGGAAAACATGTACATTTTGCCCTGGAGTAGCTAGAAGACAAGCAATGTTCCCTCTCAGCTGTGGCGTCTTGTGAGCAAAAATTCTACTTTGTGAGCTACTGGCATTAAAGTTGTGAGCGATCGATTCAGCTGCTGCATAAATGAGTTTGCTCTGGAGCCACATCCTCCCTGAGCGAAGACCAAAATGTGTGAGCCGGAGGCTAAAAGACTGTGAGCTAGCTCACACTAACTCAGCTTAGAGGGAACACTGAAGACAAGTAGCCTCCTGCCTTTGATGGCGTGTCAGCGTCTCATGGGTTTTTGGTCAAACTCAGTGGTTTAGGAGGCTGTATTTAAGAGATCTGGTACAGTGAAACCAGATGAGGCCTACCAGGACATGTGTCAGACCCCCCTGTCCAGTTACACTCAACAACTCTCTCTTGGAAGTGATACATTTATTGAAATGTATGCAAGATCCATAAAGTCGCTGTGTTAGAACTGAAGGTTTTGGCGGGTACAAGCTTAACATAGATCATTCGAATAAAAGCCGCTTCCTTCCCCCAAGCACACGTCACATTCATACCACGCCTAACATTGCCATCCCAACCAAGCAAAAGATATATATCTTGGTTATCTGCAGCTCAAGTGGTATAGAGGAACATTTAAGGACACCTTCCGCTGGGAAATGGAAAGGAGGTGCGATTTGGAAGCAAGTTATGACTCCTAGAAGCAAAGGTCCCATTCTCTCACCCATTCACTCGAAAAAAAAACCCGCGCAGGAATTTCCTCCCCCCAGGAACTATGGCAACCAAGCGAGCAAAGCGAAGCATGGTACGACAACATGGGCAGGAGCTTGAAACCCAGTCTGATTTCCCCTGGGAAGACTCTGTTGACGGGTTCTGCACGTGTTCAGCGTCTGACCGGTTGCCGCGTGTTGCAGGGGACAGGTCGAAAGGGGCCTGTTTCATAGACCAAAGTGGCTGGTACATCCAGTGTTGCCTGACTGGAATACTATGCTGGTCTCCTTAGAAAGGTACCGTTTCAGGAAATTTAGAAACCATGAGGGAAAATAACACTTTTTTTTTAAGCCAGAACATTTGGGAAAATCGAAACATATGAAGAACTTACTTTCCTAACAAATTACTAACAAAAATGTATTTTGCTGCTTTAATGACAAAGTTATGAAATGTCAAAGTTAACATAAAATTATACTATTTGGCATATTTATGGAATTTAAAAGTGTATCTGCATTAGTTTTCCACAAGTAGAATTGCAAACAATGCTCCCTCTAAGCTGAGGAGTCTTGTGAGCTGCTGGCATTAAAGTTGTGACCGAGCGATTTGGCAACTGGATCAATCGGTTTGCCCCGGAGCCATCCTTCCTGAGTGAAGACAAAAATCTGTGAGCCGGAGACTAGAAAACGGTGAGCTAGCTCACACTAACTCAGCAAATATATCTAGTACTTCAGAGAGAGCACCCTGTGCTATCTTAGCACGTGTACCTTAATGTTTGCCATCTAAGGGGCAAGGGAAAAAAAATGAACTTAAACAATTTTTTATCGTCAACAAAATAAACTATATTCTTTGGACAGGAATAGTCTCCTGCAGTTGCAGTAGGTCTGCCAGCATATTTGGATATTTGGCTTGGGAAAATGGAACTGAGAAAAGGATGGAACTACCAGCATGTCTGGATCTGAAGTCCTCCGACCGCAGCGTAAGCAAGTAGGGCAGAAGCTCTGCAGGAAAGGGAGACTTTAAAGAACGATGACTCAAGCCAGTCTGAGCACGGAGAGCCAGTTTGGTGTAGTGGTTAAGTGCGCGGGCTCTAATCTGGGAGAACCGGGTTCGATTCCCCACTCCTCCACTTGCACCCGGCTGGATGACCTTGGGCAAGCCGTAGTTCTGATAAGAGCTGTTGGCTCTCTCAGCCCCACCTACCTCGTAGGGTGTCTGTTGTGGGGAGGGGAAGGGAAAGGAGTTTGTAAGCCGTTCTGAGACACCTTTGGGTAGTGAAGGGCAAGATAGAGATCCAATCTCTTCTTCTTCTGTTGAGCCAGTTTAGTGTAGTGGTGAAGTGCGTGGACTCTAATCTGGGAGAACCGGGTTTGATTCCCCACTCCTCCACTTGCACCCGGCTGGATGACCTTGGGCAAGCCGTAGTTCTGATAAGAGCTGTTCTTGAAAAAGAGCAGTTTCTGTCAGAGCTCTCCCAGCCCCACCTACCTCACAGGGTGTCTGTTGTGGGGAGGGGAAGGGAAAGGAGTTTGTAAGCCGTTCTGAGACACCTTTGGGTAGTGAAGGGCGGGGTAGAAATCCAACCTCTTCTTCTTCAAGCAAGTGAGTCAAGGGGCATGCTTCCAGAGAAAGCAAAAACAACCCAGATTCATCTGATCTGATGATAAAATGCTCTTCCTACCACAAAGGTCTGCTGCACGTGGTTGGAGATGGCCTTTGAGATGACAAACGCCATTTTACTAGACAATTAAAATTCAGTCAGCTTTTAAAACAATATGTGTGTGTGCATCTAGCAATTCAAACCAAAAGAGAGAAGGCGTATCAGTGAGGGAATGCTGAACATACTCTGATCTAGTAGTGGCCAGGATGCTGAACTGAAATCCCACCCTCTAACTTAGCTGACTCGCTGGATTTAGCTGAATCAGAAACTTTTGGCCTTGTCTGAAAAACCGGAATAGGAAAGACCCGTTCACCAATGTTCCCTCTAAGCTCTGGAGTCCTGTGAGCAAAAATCCTACTTAGCGAGCTGCTGGCATTCAAGTCGTGAGCAGGTGATTTGGCTGCCGCAAAAACCAGTTTGCTCTGGAGCCCTCCTTCCTGAGCTAAGCCAAAACTGTGTGAGCCAGAGGCTAAAAAACTGTGAGCTGGCTCACGCAGACTCAGCTTAGAGGGAACACTGCGTTCACAGGGGCTATAAATAACGCCCCTGCGCCATCGCTAAACCTCTCTGGGGGACCGGGTGCCTGGCGCCTTCCCAGCCATACCAAAAGCGCCATAGTAGGAGTTCTCACTGATCAGGATGATAAATATAACCTGTGTTGGATGCTCAAGCCCAGCCTGAGGATTCACGAGGAAACAGGCAAGCAGAGCGCTCCCTTCTATCCTGGTTGTTCCCTCCCTGGGGTGATAGAACGTACATTGTCTTTCCACCAGAAGGGGGCTCCAGCTCAGGGGCATAGGCAGGATTTTTTAAGTCGAGGGGCATTTTAAAAAGTCGGGGGGGGGCGAGGTAGACAGGGAGGGAGCCACGCCACTGCAGCTGCTGCAGCCGCCATCACTGCGTTGTGATTCACAACGTGGATGAAAACCAGGAGACAGGGGTGCTAGGTTGACCCGCTGCCCCTTTGCTTCTTTCCTGCAACCTGGCTGGTGTGGGCAGGGGGGGGGGCTCCGGCAGGCAGGCTCGGTGAGGGCGATGGTGCAGGGCGGCTATGCACTGTGGCACAAAAAAGAAGAAGATTTTTTCGGGAGGCCTGGGCTGGATGGGAAGTTGGGGGGCCGGGCCCCACGTGGCCCCACTGTAGCTGTGGGCCTGCTCCCTCTAGCTGTTAGCCATTTCAGTACACCCATTTGCCAGGAATTTTCCTCTTAAATACAGCTAAGCTCAGCATCCTTGTAGTGCGTTCTGCCTCAGGCCCACCACAAATCAGACGGCCCTTCCTCTTCCCTCCCATCACTCCTGGGCCAGTGTTGCCCCTCGGACCTAGATCCTGTGCAGGGACTGCACTTCCGAACAGCACGTACCATCACGACAATAATTAGGTGGTAAACGCTAAACAGGGCTGGCTCACTCACTAGGCGAACTAGGCGATCGCCTAGAGCGGGACGGCCCTTAGGGGCACCAAACTGCACCCGGCCCCGTACTCTGGGAGTTTCTTGATTATTTGTGTTTTTCATTCTTCCTAATATGCTTTTATTTTTTAAAATTGGTGGGCGCGGGGGGGGGGGGCATAAGGGGGATCCTCGCCTAGGGTGCAAAATAAGCTGGAGCCGGCCCTGACGCTAAATCCACAACTGTTGCACTGTTTTATTGGACATCCCATGCCATGGATTATATTTGACCTGCCCGATCTTAGTTCTTTATCAGTTACAATCATAGATCAGTCACGATTGACACTCCTAGTTATCAGCACATTTGCAAACAATGGAATTCCCCGGCAGCCTGGCAGGCTGAGACAATTAAGAAGACTTGACCAGCTCCTTCCTTCTTGATCTGGCCGAGGGGCAAAATTTGGCCACCTTAGAGGTGATTTCGTTAGAACAATATAAAAGGGGGGAGGGAGATATTAAATTCATCAGGTCTGCCTGGCAAATTTAATAGAATTGGAGTTATTAAAGACAGTAATAACATGGGAATAGTATAAAAACTTGCCCGATTTGTAATCCGCCTTGAGTCTCACTGAGAAAGGCAGACTATAAATAACATAAATGGATAAATAAAATAAGATTTTCTCTCTGTCATGTTTCAGGGTGTCTGAATCTGAAAGGACCCGTGGTTCTCAGATGAGAGCATCTTGAGGACCCCCCCAGTTTAATTTTAAAATTGTCACGGCTCCCCAAGCCCTTCCCTTGTCCTTCACCGGTGCCTGTTTTCTGTTGTGGCAAGTTACACATCCCCACGTGGAGGCCTCCATCCTTCCTCGACACGCTCTGCTTCAGAAGCAAATTTAAGTAAAATGATTGCACTGTCAATGTGTATCCTACAAGGTCGAGCCTCGGATGGTGTCTGACTGTGTAGGCCGCCACTCAAGAGGCCAGACCCAAGTCCTAAATCAGTCTCTCCGCTCCTTGATTGGCAGGGGCTTTGCGCTGCCCGGTTAGAAGAACCACTCCTAGGAGAAGAAAAAGGCCAGTGCCATGCAAAAGCTGAACTTCCAGTGTTCAGTGGCAAAGCCTGATTAGCTGTTATTGTCTGGGCATGCAAGGTGGCATCTCACTATAGGCTCTTTACTGGGAAACAGAGTGGAAACCAATTGAGTTCTGCATGGGAAGGAACTGTGATTCCTTGTATTGGGACTGTACCTCCTTTGTGTCATTAACCTATGAGAATTCCTGCAACTAACTGATGCATTTTCTGTCTGCTGCTCGGAGGACTGGCGGTAGCCAGGGGAATGTGTGTGTGCCTGTGGGGGTGGGCAGCAGTGTTCCCTCTAAGATGAGTGTGAGCTAGCTCACAGTTTTTGAGCCTCCGGCTCACAGATTTTTGCCTTCGCTCAGGAAGGAGGGCTCCAGAGCAAACCAATTGATGCAGCAGCCCAGTCGCTCGCTCACAACTTTAATGCCAGCAGCTCGCAAAGTAGAATTTTTGCTCACAAGACTCCACAGCTTCGAGGGAGCACTGGTGGGCCGCCTCCGTGTGGCACCTTCAACGATAACGTTGTTTTTTCTTCTCTTTCCTGACAGAAAACAAATTGGATCACTGAGGATGATTTTCACCTTCCTCCTCCTGCTGAGGAGGGAAGAGGCCCCTCCTCTCCCCACCGGGCACCTCCAGAGAGAGCGGTTGGTGTCCAGCCACCGATGCAGAGGGATCCGGGCCCACTTCGGACGCCTTCCCCAGAGTCCTGGAAATCCAAACCATCCCCTGAGCGAGAAGCAAAGGGTTTCAGTGTAGTCCATAGGAGGCAGATAGGTAACCGTGTTTCTGCCCAGGGAAGAATAACGGGTGGGAATGGGCCAGATGAGGGGGCAGAACATCCAGCCAGGGCTGCGCCCAACGGCATGGGTTGCCAACTGAGTGCAGGGTCAGGTTCAAGGTGATGGGGTTAACCTTTAAGGCCCTTTGCAGCCAGGGGCCAGCACACCCGCGGGACCGTCTTTTCTCCCTTTCTCACAATACAAGAACTCGTGAGCACTCAATGAAATTGCTGAGCGGTCGGGTTAGAGCGGATAAAAGGAAGTCCTTCTTCACCCAAAGAGTGATTAACACTTGGAATTCACTGCCACAGGAAGTGGTGGCGGCTACAAGCATGGATGGCTTCAAAAGGGAATTAGATAAGCATATGGAGCAGAGGTCCATCAGTGCCTATGAGCCACAAGGTATAGATAGGGGCTCTGGGGCAAGGGATGCTCTGTCATCTTGGTGCTTGGGGGGGGGCCAACAGTGGGAGGGCTTCTAGTGTCCTGGCCCCACTGGTGGCCCTCCTGAGGGCACCTGGTATTTCTGGCCACTGTGTGACACAGAGTGTTGGACTGGATGGGGCTTTGGCCTGATCCAACATTGGCATCTCTTATGTTCTTATGTCTCTCCCTGTGTGTGCTGTGCAGAGCCCTCCACTCTGCTGTCCAACACTGACTCGTAGTCTCCAGCCCAAAAGAGGTCCGTCGTGCCTCAAACAGGAGCAGAGCTTTCTCATGCTCCCAACTGAGACCAGGGCCTTGCGGGATTTGTTGCCGCTCTGCCGGGCCCGTAGAACAGAGCTGTTCCACCAGGGCCTTTGGCTGAGGTAGCGCACGTCGAATAGCATCCGCCTCCCCTGCTTTCATATTATTGGCAGCTGACCGAATTCATTCTGATCCATTGCCCTTCTAGCATGGGGCGTGTGTGCACTGAATGACACCAGCCGCCGAATTGTCAGCTAGGAAACTTAGATTAGTTATTTCAGATCTCAATGTTAATCTATGCCGTGTTGATTATGTAATGTTTTTAGAATTTTGTGTTGTTTCATGATGTGAAGTGAGCCGTCCCGAGCCCGCTTGCGGGATACATAGCCCCAAAGATGAACTCGGTGGTGTCAGTGGAACAGCCTTGGGCGGTGGGTGCCCCTCTAGAGATGTAAAATTTCTGGAAATTTTGAAGCTCAGAAAAAAACCCGTTTCCCACCCCCACCCCGGTTTTTTTCGGAAAAAACCAGAAATTTTCGGAAAAATTGAAAAAAAGGCTACATTAGCATTTCTTTTGTCTTTTCTAGATTGAAAGTCATTCTGTTACTTTAGGAACATAAAATATGACTATGGACATTTTTACTTGGCATGAAATTATCACAACTAGCCTATTAAAAATATAGTGTATCCAAACAAATATTACAAACAGAACACCCACCCACATGCAAAAACAAAACTGAAACTTTTTTATTTTCTTCTGACAATCGCACCTCCTAAAGGAAGAAATGCATCTTGTTCTTGCATTGGAGAGTTCAGTTTGTAACCTAGGGCTTGCTTGTCCTCAGTGCACGGAAATTACATCAATCTGATACCATATATATATATATTTTAGATGATTTGGAAAATATTTGAACACCTTGTCTTAAAATATTTTATCCATCATGTTAAAATAAAACGTTCCATAATAAA